AATTATTCCCCATTTTGATCACTGCTTCTTGAAAACCCATCATCTAAGACTTGAAACTGAAACAGCCATGATGTTGCTTAGGCTGCGCTCATCATTTGCGACTCGACTTTTCGGGTAATCAGCTTTTGAGCGAATCGGTGTGCTGAATGAAAAGGATAGTATAGATATCGACCGGTGCCGGATAGATATCTATACTATCCTTTTCATTCAGCACACCGATTCGCTCAAAAGCTGATTACCCGAAAAGTCGAGTCGCAAATGATGAGCGCAGCCTAAGCAACATCATGGCTGTTTCAGTTTCAAGTCTTAGATGATGGGTTTTCAAGAAGCAGTGATCAAAATGGGGAATGATTCATGCATAGGCTCTTCCAGAAAGCTCGCTATCGATGACAATGAAATCGAGGGAAGAAATCGACTCCTTGGAAAACGTCTGCCAATGATGCGAAGTTTGATAATTCGCTCGACCCTACCACGATAAAGTTAGTTTGAAGCGACTGGTGAGTTTAGGCTTGCTATTCAGATTTAAGTTCGGCTTCCCGTTTCACTCGAATTCATTTTCAAGCCATTTGAGCGATCAGAGCCCTTGAGCTAATCAGTAAATGCAGTAGGAACGAACACAGTCGTTGCTGCCGCCCCTCGAATCACTTGGTGATCAGCCGTAAAAAAGTAATACATTGAGATATATTCGCACCTCTTTCTCAGCTTGTTCGTACACGTCAACCATTTCGGTATAGTGAACAATGCCCACGTTGAACCTGAAAATCAGTATTCTCAGAAAAAGGGTAAATAAGAACGAAAAGGTAATATGGGTTCGAGGTATATTCCATCAGGCAAAGGTAATAGCAATCGGTAAGTTTGTATTGCTCACAGCCTGTCCTAGCAAGAAAACTATGTAAATTGTAAGAGTACTAATTTCAAAAGCATAAGATTCCACCTCCCGCAAAGTTCTGGCAGTGGAAACATAATGTAGCCGAGGGTGTCTCGCTGAACGGACTTGATATCGAGAGAACGAGTTAGAGCTACCAAGCGATACATGCACCCTATAGAAAAAGAAAAGCATTAGCAAAACAGTACCTGCCCCTCCATACAAATAAAAACGAAATAAAAACAAAACATCTACCTACCAATGTGAGAATACGCCCGACAAAGCACAAGTTTGCAGAAGGGATCGGTTGGGTACTCATTCGATGTCCACTCGAGCAGCAGAATCATTTCGTAGAAAGATTGCCAGTCATCTTAATAAATAATTTATGTATAGCTGATAGAAAGAACACATCTAACCCACCACCTGTAAT